TATTGTTGCAATGCGAGGGTAACCCTTGTCAGTATAGCTCGCCAAATTAGGGCGACCCGTATCGTCAGTATGATGGAAGAAGTTCAGCAACAGTATTCACAGTCCCACTAAAATCAACACATGTCTTCCGAGCCATGAAATTGTTGAGAAGAACTAGCTCGATACGAACAATAGTAGTCATCTTGTCTTGAGGCTATACAAAAACTTACAAAATCTGTGGTCGCAGATGAATGCGAAGCAAGCGTATGAGATGATCATCGTAAGATGTATAAGATATTAGCAAACCAGGCCACTATGGGATTCACTTCGGGATCTTGTACTGCGAGGTCGCGAGTCCTGGTTGCGAGTAGTCGACGTTGTCCTGCGAGGGCGGGGTATCACTGACCAGATAAGCTGAGAGATACTTCAACACAGATAGCGAATCATCCTCAGCAATCATGGAAAGAACCGATCGGACATCGACACCCTGAGGACCGAACGTATCCTTCATTTCATACTGTATCACTGTCCATAAAGGATCATCAGCGTTCTCAGCCGCAGTAACCAAGCCTACTGGGATGTCAGTGTGATTGAATGCTGGAGAGGTCAACTCGGTACGCACCCGGTCAACAAGCGCCTTCCACAGGACATCCTCATCGTTGTCGGAGAGCACAGGTAGGACTTCATCACTCTTGGTAAGGGCCGACGTCCTTAAACCTTCTCCCAGAACAGGGATCACCGCATTCACGAGCAGAGCCAGAAGAACATATTTCGAGGCGAAAGACATTAGTGGCTAACTTATCTGAGTTAAAGATCACGTGGGCTGAAGAAATCTTCCGTTCGGAAGTGGGAATCTATTCAGCTATTGTCAATGAATCATAGTTCCGGCTGGATCAGAGCACATGATGGAACTACACGCGTGATTCACGTCAACTTACGCGTTATTTTACGTGTTTTCAGAAGCCTTGAAAATTAACGCGTACTTTATGCGTGAAAATACACGGGGTAAACGCGTGGCTTCAATTGGCGATATCACGTTGTGATAAGATTAACTGCATATCATGATGATGTTATCATCTGATCGATTGCAGCCGCGCCGCGCGACTGATAACAGTGATTGATAAGTGATTTCCATATTGTCATTATATCAGTCATTAGAATCAGTGAAAGCCAACCAACGGTGAATACCAGATGCGCTCGCTACTTGCACTTGTTCATGGCAGTACCGCAGCGAAGTGAGATCTGAACTTTCCTAACGCTCCTTTTCTGTCCGTAGCGACCTATCACTCTAACTTCGACATCGCGTTTATGAATCGCGACACGATGACGGCACGTCATCGACGTGTCCCAAAACAAGGTCGCAAGCTGTGCAGGAGCTGGAAGTGAGCTGAAGTGCGAGATGATTGCGAATCGCGCGCCTAAACGCTGAGTCGTTACCTCCACCGTAGTATGAGAGGGTGGGCTGAAATTGAAGTTAACAGTCGTAGGCCGAGGCGAAACTACTAACGAGGGTAGTGCGGGCCTCGGGCTCCGAGGAGACCTCAGAGCTAATCTCCCTCGCGTCACGTCATGCGTGTCACGTCGCGCGTGGCGTCACATCTCGAGATTGCGCGTGGAGCATCACGTTCGTTGACGTCACGAAGCACGGAACTAAGAAACGGTTATTCACTGCGTGAACGTGGTGTACCTGCAGGTCTCCCTGCTTGAAGTAGAGGATGCGCGGCATTTGGATAACCAACACGACAGCGATTATATCAGGGCTTGACATCCGTGATACTACGGCGGTAGAGGAGTCTATCATACCGTTCATAGCTCGCTCGTGTAACTTCTAGAGTTGGCCTTGGATGGGTTCGGAATTATCGAGTGACGCTGCAATCGTAGTGTTCAACTCTACCTAATGCTTGTAGGAATGGTATGTTTGGCATTTCTAAAGGAGCGTTGCCCGTGTTGTGAGAAGTGAGTCAATTAAATGGTCCTTATTAACGAGCAATACATGATACAGCGATCACGTTCTCCTGCTCTGAGGCTGCGGCCGTAAACTTCGTCTCTTAAGTCCTACTTCCTCGTGGCCTTCGTCCCCGGCGAGTCTTGAGAGCGGCTCGGGTCTTCCAATTACTAATGCTGTTTTTTTTTAATTTTTTAACAAGTGACTCACTTGCTTTGCGAATGATACACTCTCGAGCCAGTAACCGCAGCACATGTATTCGCAAAGAATAATTGAGTCTATCGGAGAGTGGAAGTCGTGATGAACGAGCTTACGACTAATGATAGTAATCTGAGAAGTATAATCATTACGAGGATCCGTTGGGACCATTGCACCGCGACCGTGATTACCTCGAGCAATTCGCTACACTGCATTGAATAGAGTGCTATCGGTGGTATCATATCGTCATCCTGTTGCGTTACGATAGTCAAGTCTCTGCCGTAGACAATATTCAGCGGCAGATTGGATACTCACAGGAATCGGTGAGTATCCGTGGACTGAGACTCCCAGCCTGGGAGAGAAACGTCGCCAAGCCGTGGGCCTTCCCGGAAGTCACTCCCGACACACCGTGAGGTGAACATCCTGTTGTCAGATCCAGCCTCCTCAATCTCCTCCTCACAGAGAGCCTACATCCGGCCCAGGGGCCTATTTCACAAGCCATCATAAGGAGCGAAAATTGTAAGGTACCTTACGGTTTCATGGCAAGTCGCTTTCACATCCTTACGATTTGGGGGGTTGGCGTAAGGTAAGGTGGCATGAGGCTCCTCACCGTAAGGCTCCTTACCCTAAAAGGTGCAAGGAGGGCCTCCTCATGCAAGGAGATTTCATAGCAGGCATTTTTGGCCCCCTCCTTGCGATCCTTACGTAAGGTGCCGTAAGACTGCTCCGAGGGTACTTTACGCACCTTATCGCACCCTCCTTACCATTTTATGCGAGCTTCGCTCCGCTTATTCCCGATAGCCCGCACGTCTCACCCGCGGATGATCTATCCCTGAACCGTGCAT